AAAATCTTTACACGGTTTGTTCAAACTCAACATGCAAAGTCCAGGTGGGCTCCCCGGACCCCCATCTCAGCCAGACTCCTGGGTCAGCTGCTCCGCAGCCGTGTAGCCCCAAGCTGTAGGCTCTGAAGGCCAAGTGCATGGTGGCCACCTGGCCTCGTGGCTCAGGCACCCTTGGCCCTCACTCGCTGGCCAGTGTGCACCACATGAGGCGTGCTGCCCGCACAGGGGCCCTTGGGGACCCCAAGGAGTTGCCCGCTACGTGGGTGACCACACTCAGTGATCTCTGCTGCCCACAAGGAGTCCAGGCGCAGAAGGCTCGGGCCTTTGTGTGGAGGACAGGACCTGTGGCAAGGCTTTCTGTCCCCATAATCGAAGTCCTTGCAGTAGGCAAGGACACTCACAGAAGCTACCTGACTGGACAAGAGAAGTCCGGTATAAAGCTGGCGTGGTGACACATCTCGGCAGTCCTAACACCCTGGGAGGCTGAATCGGGGGTGAGGGGGCTGTGAGTTCCAGCCCAGCCTGGGCAGCTACCGACTGAGCGAGACCCTGTCTCAGATTTAAAATAAAACTTCCAAAGGGCGGAGGTTGTAGCTCAGTGTGAGGGTCACGGGCTTGCTCTGTCCCCAGTGCTACTCACCAGTGGCCGGGCCCGACAGGTGCTGCTCTGCTTTCTTAATTGTATTTTTAAAAATCATACATTTGGTGAGAGGGTGCATTTAGAAGATTAGAAAATGCAGACAAGTGGGAGAGACAGCCTTGGAGCCTCCCCAGGACCCCCAGATACCCTGTGGCTGCTGGTCCTTGCCGGCTTTTTGTGTAACTTCTTGTATGTGACTTTGTGTGTCACACGGAAAGATAACACACACAGGGTCCCAGCGTGCTGTTTCCAGGCTGGGCTTGGTCCCACAGTGGGGCACAAGATCGTGCTGTGTGCACAGGACCCTCGGTGCAGGCGCAGCCTGCTGTGTGGACAGCAGCGCCCCAGAAGGCTCTATGGTGGCCAGGGTTATTCACAGTGCTATCTCTGTGGCCCATTCGGCCCTGGCCCCTGCACCCTTCCCATCTGAGGGTCCCACGCACTCCCAGCACTTGGGCTCCTCCTTCTGTCCTTGTGTCCTGCCTGGCCTCCGGGTGATCTTGTGCTTGTGGCTGGTGGTCCCTGGAACATCTCTTCAGTTCCTTTTGTCCCCACATCTTCCTTAGGGGAGACCTGGAGGGGTTGTGGAGATGGAGCCCAAATCCCTTTAGCTGCTGTAGGTCTGTCCTCCGTATGTGCAGGTCCTGTTGGGTGACCTGCACACGTGGGTGCTGTATGTGGCTCCCAGGGGGCTGGGCCCTGTGCAGGGTAGCTGGTTGGGCTTTGCTTTACATACTCAGCAATTTGTGCCCCAGCCCATTCTTGAGGTATACTTTAAATTCAGTTCATTTTGCAGTCTAAGCTACAATTCCAGCTCCCACCTGAAGAGGCCAAAGATGTCCTGCAGGTCTCTGGCCACCTCTGGGGATGCTGCATGTGGTGCAGTGGCGTCCTTTCCCTTGGACATTTGACTGTCCCTGCAGGTCCAGGTGTCACACACGTAGGATGCTGTCCTCCTGCTTTGAGGGGTGAGCTCAGTGAGAGTTTGATTTCTTATTAAACCTACTTGGTAAACGACTTGACATTTTCCATGGATGAAAATGTATTCAGTAACAAACTGAGTCAGCAACAAATGCTGCTTGGTGGCCACTGCTGCTATGAGACTTGGTGCTGCCACATGTGACAGGTGAACAGCAGCGACAGCAGGAGCATGCACAAGGTGCCTGTGCTATTCCGAGCATGCCCGGAAAGGGGCAGGAGGCCCTGTGCTTAGCCCATCCTGTGGCAGTGAGACTTGCCCAGGGACCTCAGCTGACATCCCTCGGCACACATGGAGCTCCCTGTTGTCCCCCACTTGTCTGCTGTGTGCACTGGCCTCTGTTGAGGACCACATGCCAGCTTGGGGGACACAGGGATACGGGGCCCTGCCAATGCAACAGAGAAGGCAGATGTCCTGAGAGCCAGTTGAGGCCGCGGAGGATGAGTCCGGGTGCCCTGGGCCCGGGGTGTGGTGTGGGGCTTCCCCTGCCTTACATTGCCCATGCTCAGAGCCGCATGATGTCCAGACAGGCAGACTCTGGCCCCAGGGGGACCCAAGATGCCCAGTGAGTGCTTTCCTGGGGCCCAAGGGTAAAGGACAGGGTGGGGAGCACTTCATCCTTTGTGGGAAGGCACAGGGAGGTCACTGCACTGTGCAGATGTCTCTGTGACTCGTGTGGCTAGCAGCGTAGAACCCTCTGGCAGGATGTGGCCAGAGTGGTGAATGTTACTTGCTCTTTAACACTCCAGGCTTATCCCTGGGAGCCTTCCCGGGACGGACAGAGCAGCGGGACAGGTCTGTTACAACTCCCCTGCTGCGCTGCCCAGAAGAGACCAGGGGGCAGTCACGCTCCTGGGGGCTTTTAGCCCCTCGTGCCCCCAGGAGATGAGTGGGCCTGGCTCTACTTGGCTGCACAGCCACGCTGCCTCACACTGTCCCGCAGCAGAGGCCGCTGGTGTAAGGGAGAGCACCTGGCGTGCCGGGCTCCCAGGCACACGCGTGCCCGCCACACTTGTGCAGGCCTTGCCGAGCTGCTGCATGCCCCCAAAGGGAAGGAAAGTTCAGAGACACATCGTGACATCAGTGCTGAGAGCAAAACTCCCCTCGGTCAGGCACCCCACCTCCACGAGCGCGGGGGCTGGCGTGGAGAAGCCATGCCTGGAGCTCCGGGGACACTGGGCGAGATGTCCCGGGCAGGGTCCTCAGGCTCATCCTGTGCCTGCGCGCCATCACGCAGGGCAGTCATCTCTGGCCAGCCACAGCCCTGGCATGGCAGAGTGCGGCGGCTTGGTGAGTTACGGCCGCCAAGTGCGCAAGGTGGACAGCGCAGAGTGCACAGGGCTCATGAGTGCGTTGTGTTTCCCGCAGAGGAGACACCGCGCCTTGTGCATGAAGAAGACAAGCCTTTTTAAAAAAGAAGTCTGTATTTAAGGGCATGTTTGTCTGTGTTCTTTTCTTGCTATAAAGGTCACCCAGATAGATTTTTCCTTCTTTAGCATTGCAGGCCGCAAAGAGCTGGGCATTTCTATTCTCTCTCCATCCCGTGAACCTGGGGGACTAAATTAGATTCTGAAATTGAGTGTGCAGTGGAGTCGCGGAGTTACCATAATGGGAGGGTATTGCTTCTCACCTTGCGAGGAGCCAGGTCATGATAATATGAAGCGAAGTGGATTAAAAATAAAACCAAAGGTATTTATTTATGACCTGCTCAGAATTGGATTGGCATCCGTGTAAGTTGCATCTAATGGTGAAAGACAGCAGATTGATGTTGATGTGTCCCCGAGGACATATTGCCAGCTGAGTGTGCTCCGTGAATTCAATTTAAAGGCCCACAGAAAGTGTCCAAAATGCAAAGGAAACGGAACTGCGGCAGAGGTGGGGCCCTTGGCTGCGGAGTCCTCGCCGCTCGGACCTGTGCTTGGAGGCTCCTGCTCTGAGGCGGCCCGGGTTCTCCGTGCCAGGGGTGTGGGGGGGGGCAGTGACAGGGGAACTGCATGGCCAGGGTCTGAGCTCTTGTCCCAAAGGCCTCTCCATCCGACCCGTGACGGGGGAGTGCATCCCCTGTGCACAGGGACGGGGGACAGAGCCCCAGAAACCCTGTCCCAGGTGAGCGGGCCACAGAAAGCGGGATGTGCCCTGCAGAGTGAGGACTCCAACGCACGGGCTGCTCCGTGCCCACCTATGCCGGAGCAGGTCGCAGGAAGCCAGGGGCTGGCTGCATGGGCTGGGGATGGAATCTTACGGGGCAGCACCAGCTGGGGGAAGGGGTACAGGCAGCCTGCAGGTGGCTCGGGCCGGGCTCTGTGGGACCAGCGTCTGGCAGGCCAGCAGGACGATGCAGGATTCTCACCCGGGAATTTGCCTGGCTTCCACGAGGGCACAGTCTTGGGCCAGCCCCGACCAGGGCCTGAGCCTGCTCTTCTGAGCCCCCATCCAGGAAGCTGTCCTGGCCAAGCAGCCAGCCGCCACAGCCAGGCACAGTCCTGCCACCTTCTCTGGCGGTCGCAGGCCCTGAAGCCCACCTGCCCTGAGTGAGCTATTGGCTGCCTGTCTCCCCTCAGACGCCCCCCGAGCTGCCACACCATATTATCAAGTCCGTGTCCTACCAGCATCCGTCCCTGGCTTCCGAGTGCTGCAGATGCTCCTCATTTGCCAGTGGAATGTGACCCAGTACCTCTTGCTGAGAGGGCTGTGCTGTAGGCCTGGGGTGCTGGAGGGGCAGGAGACCCGAGCGAATGGCGGCCGTGGTCACTCTGCAGAGCCCGGTGAGGGTCCGGGGTGTGTTGTGTGTTCCCTGCTCTGGGCGACATGAGCTGTGTGGCCTGGTGTGTATGACCCGTGCCAGGCTTCTGTGACAGAGTGCTCATGCTGTCCCACTTACAGAGAGGTGGCTGGGCTTGGAGGTGACATTGTCACCAGGTATTTGGCTGTACTTGGACATGAACCTGGGTGTGTCAGTGCCCGGCATGTGGGGCAGCTGTGGCCAGGGACTGCTGAGCTCCTGGTGCCCCAGTGGACTTCACCTGGCTCAGTCCTGAGGTTCCTGCCACCTGCTCCTTAGCTGCTGGCCATGCTAGGCTGGAGGGAATTGCCTCATGCCGGGAATTTTGCCCTGGGGTGCCTTTGCGGGAGTGGGGTCATTCCCTGTCCCCTGACGTGAGAGGCTAGGGCAGGATGGTCCACTCCCTAGGCCTCCCCTGCACTGGACCTGGGGGCCCTGTCTGTCCACAGAGGGTATGGTGCCCACCTCCCTGTGGTGGCTCAGCTTTCAGGGAGCAAGCTGCATCTGTGAGCACTGGTCCCATGGCGTCTCACAGCCCACACAGCTCCCACACAGCCTGCCACTCTGTTGGCCCTGCTGACTGCTGTCTCTTCCCACAGGAGCTGCTCCTCTTCCTGCAGAACCTGCCCACCGCCTGCTGGGGAGATGAGGACATCAGCCTGCTGCTGGCGGAGGCTTACCGCCTCAAGTTTGCCTTCGCTGACGCCCCCAATCACTACAAGAAGTGAGCCAGGCCTCACTGTGGGGCCGGCGCCCTCCCTGCCTGGCCAGCTGCAGGCCTCTCTGAGCTGGCCCCAGCCACACACTGCCTTGTGGCTGCCCAGCCAGGGTGGGTCCGGTGTGTCCTCCTGCTGGTGGGAATGGGTGGCCCCAGTTTTACGAGTTACCAAAGAGAGCCAGGGATGGATCCCAGCTTTGGGAGCCAAATGTATGTCAGGAGCCCCCCTGTTCTGTCCCTGGAGTGTCCTTGCCAAATGCCCTCCCTGGACCCCTGACGTGGAACAGCCAAGAGGCAGCCCCAAAGAGTGGCCTGCTGTTAGCTGCCAGGCAGGGTTACAGGGGCCAGCTCAGTCCTGCTCTGCAGAGACTCCTCTGCTGGGGGGGGGGAGGATCAAGTGCAGGCTAGGTGCTGGGGTGCGGAGGGTGAGCTGGGCTCTGCGCCTGAGCTGATTGCTTTCTGGGCTAGAAGCTGACCTTGGGTGACCTGGAAGGCAGGGACAGGAGGCTGAGAGCAGAGGAGGCCACGCACAGCTGCCTTACCTTCCATTTGTGCTCACCTTTGAGAGAGCTCCTGGGCCACTGCCTGTCCCTCGTGGTCACTCACACAGCCCACTGTGGGTCAGCATTGTCCTTAGCAGGGCCCACATGGGGCCGTGGATACACAGGGTAACCTAAGTGAACTCCCCCTGCCACTGCCCTCTGTGCCAGGTCCCCAGGGCTTTGCAGGTGGCTGTTCTGTTCCGCCTCCCCCACGTCCTCCCAGAGTGTTGTGGCTGTGTGAGCCTTCATGACTCAGGTACTGTGGGGAGGTGTCAGACACAGGCTCTGCAACCCTGGTGGGGCAGCCTCCTGTCCTCAGCAGCCTGCTGTGACTGCTCTGAGATGCTGTCCTTTCTTGAGGAGCAGCTCTGCCCTTGCCCAGGCTCCAGGAGACCCCCTAGAGGCCGGGGCCCCAGATGTGTGCAATGTGTGTGTCCTTGCTCCCGTGACAGTGGTCTCTGCTCACTGCGCGTGGCAGGAGGTTGGCACAGCGCTCTGTGCTGGTGCCCTATGCCCCAAGACGGCGGCGGGCCATGTGCCTGCAGCCAGGTAGAGCTCACGCCTCCCCCCATCTCCCTCCAGTTCAGGGTTCCTTCCAGAGCACCTCCCGCTAGGGATAAGGAAGTGGCTCCATGGCTCTGTGTGTGCAAGCCCCATCTCCTTCCCAGAATCTGCTCCGCTTGGACTCATATGTGTCTGCGCAGCCAGAGGCTGGAGACACTGCAGGCCTGCCTCTGGTGGTAGTGTATTTTCCAATGGGGAAGGACCCATGTGCTTAAATTAAGCCCTGTGCATTTCCCGTGTGCAAACACCAGGTTGGGTGTGGGGACACCGGCAGAAGTCCCAGGTCTGAGCAGGTGACTGGAGTGTGTCTGCAGTGTGATGTGTGGGACGAGGAAATAAAGACGCATTGATGCAGCTGTGCCTTGGCCTGTGGCTTGTGGATGGCGGGCCCTCAGCCTGCGCCAGCTGCTGACATCCTCGGACCTGGTGTGGAGGTGCATTCGTGCACATGGTGTGGAAGGCCGCTTGCCAGCTGTGAGGCAGGACTCAGGTCTCCCAGAGCCCAGACTGCACCGCTGGGGTCGGGAGCTGGTGCAGAGAGCACCAGGGTCCCATCCAGGTCTTCTCCTGCCTGCTCTGAACAGGAGCCCCCACCTCACCATGTCTCAGCTTCATGAAAAGCCTGTCTTGAGGCGGCCCCAGGGCTCTGGTACAGGACACACCTACCTGTATCCCTGCTGCCCCTAGCAATACCCTGACAGTCTCCTCCCCTGCCCAGCCTGCATCACTGAAACAACCCTGCCAGGCCCCAGGCTCTCGGGGAACTTTGGCAATGTGCTTCTCTGGTGCCCTGTGTCTGTCTCTCACTTGGGACCCTCCCTCGGCAGCCTCGGCTTTCGCTTCCTGGTGTGTTCCTGTCCTGTGGGTGGCTTGCGATTGCACAGGTTCATGCCTCCTGTCCCCGTGCCCGAGTGTGGCACTAAGCTGGGGAGGGCGGCGTGTGTTGACCTCATTGATGGCCCCTGGGGCTGGAGGCAGGGATCGGCAGCCCTTCTCTGCAGCAGCCACCAGGGCTGAGACTAGGCCACCGCTTGCCATTGCGGCCTGCAGCCTGAAGTCCTCACTGTCTCTGCAGAGGTCCTGAGCGGGGTACTTCACTTACCTGCAAGGAGCAGTCTCTATAGGAACAGATTCAGTATAAGATACGTAAATATACAAGGGTTTACAAGATAGGCTTCCGGTGAGCAAGCGGCCCTCATCCCTCTTACTCCCTTCAGGCCACAAGCCTGTTGTGCCCTCACATCCAGATCTGTGCTAACCCAACGGTCGCTGATTACTCAGAGTGGCATAGTCAGTTACCTGTCATGCCACCAGAGTCAGGGAAGGGACCCAGCCTGTTGGGGCTGCTGCAGGCAAAGGGCCAGTGGTGGCATGGGCTGTGGTTATGTGTGTGTGGGTTCTGGGGACATCTGAGCAGCTGAGTTTAGAAAGCCATCCTAGGTGGATGGGCTGTGTGAACAGTGGGTCTGAGAAGACTGGGCACATTTATGATACAGGGACAGGCCTGTTGTGAGCCACACCCAGCCCAGGCGCTTTCCTGGTGCCACCCACCATGAGCTGGCAGCTGTGTGCCAGGCCACTGGTCCCAGCAGAGCTACTGTCAGGGCCTCTGCTCAAGGAATGTACTGAGATGGACAGTTGGAGGTGTGGGGTTTCCCTGTAGCCTCTAGCTCTTGCATTCCCTCATCCCTGGGCTCCTTAGTCCCAGGGGGTCATGTGCTTCCCAGGTCTGCCCTGCTCAGTTTTAAGGCCCTTTAAGGCTCACAGTGCCGCCCCTAAAGGTCCTCAGCCAAGAACAGCTGCATAATAGCTACATATTAGCTAACAGGAAAAGATAGCAATTATGAACATATATGCACCAAGCAACAGCCTATCCAACTTTATGAAACAAGTTCCTTTGGACGTAAGAGCCGCGATAAAGATAATCAGTTATAGAGAGGACCTCAACACTGTACTACTACACATGGATCAGTCGGACAACGAACAAAGAAATATCAGCACTGAAGAAGCCTTTAAACCAATCGACTTGATAGGTACTTACAGAATGTTCCACCCAACGACAGAATGTGCATTCTTCTAAGTAGCACATGACATAGACCACATACCAGCCAACAAAGCCAAACATAAGTAAATGTTAAAGGATTGGAATTATAGCCTGCATGTTATCAGCTCACAGTGCAATGACACTAGAAAACAAGAGAAAGCAGAAATTATTCAAATGCATGGAACTAAACAATATACTCAACAATGGTTTATAGAAGAAATAACATAGTTTCTGGAACTAAATAAAAAGGCTAGTACACCAGACTTCTGGAACACAACGAAAGCAGTCCTAAGAGGGAAGCTTATAATGTGAATGCCCATGTCACAAAAACAGGACAAGCCCAAATAAATAACAATGCAGTTCAAGGGCCTATAGAACCAAGAAGATTTAAAGACTTTTTTTTTTTTTTAATGTATTTGTTACAGGGTCTCCCTGCGTAGCTTGGACTTGCAAAGATCCTCCTGTTTTCAGCCTCCCCAGCGCTGCAATTATAGGCATGTGCCACCATGCCCAGACTTTGGTCACCAGCTCAGTGTGCCCAGGGGCAGGGCCAGTATGGCCTGTGGTACTGGGGATTGAACCCCAGTCCCTGCGCTTGCCTAAGCAGGCACTTAGTCTGCTGAGTAGGATACCTCGCCAGCCCTTAAAGACTTTTTTTTTTTTTTTTTTTTTTTTTTGTAGTACCAGGGATTGAACTCAAGGCCTTGTGCTTGCCAGGCAGGCACTTATTCTACTGAGCTATCTCCCTGGCCCTCCTTAAAGACTTTTAATAAGCTAATAACAATAAATGAAATCAAAGCAGTAATTTAAAAAGCTACCAACTAAGAAAAGCTCAGGTTACATGTATTCACTGTTGAATTCTGTGAAAACTTCAGGAAAGATCTAACATCAATATTCCTCAAGGTCTTTAAAGAAATGGAGAGAAAAGGAGCTCAACATCATTCCTGGAAGCTACTATTATCCTGATTCCTAAACTGAACAAGAACTGAATCAAAACAGAGAACTGTAGACCAATTTCTTTAATGAATATTGATGCAAAACTCCTCCACAAAATACTGGCAAATAGAATGCAATGAATCATTAAAAAGATCGTACATTATGACCCAGCAGGCTTCATGCCAGGGATTCAAAGATGGTTCAACATATGCAAATCAGTAAATACATAAACAGAAGCAAGGACAAAAATCATGTGAGTTTTCAAGACACAGAAAAAGCATTTGACAAAATCCAGCATTCTTTTATGATAAAGACACTGGTTGGGAAAAAAAAAAGGGGCTTATCTCAATCTGCTATATTGTTTATGATCTATTTACTGCCAACACCTTATTAAATGAGGACAAACTGAAAGCTTTCCTGCTAAGAGGAGGGACATGGCTGTCTACCATCACCACTCCTGCTCAATGTAGTACTTGAAATATAGTAAGAGCAGTTAGGCAAGAAATAGAAATAAAAGGAATATGTATAGGAAAGGAAGAAATAGAATTATCATTATTTGCAGGTAACAATCCTATACACAGAATATCCCCCCGCAAAAAATCTCACAAATATTCAGGATTAATAGCCAAATCCAGTAGTGTAGGAAGGTACAAATCAACACACAAAAATCAATAGTGTTCCTGTACATGGATAATGAACCCACTGAGAAAGAAACTAGGAACAAAGGCCACTCACGGTAGCACCAGAAATATATAGGAACTAATCTAACTTAAGTTAAAAACCTCTACAACAAAAACTACCACACTAAAAATGCAAACTAAAAAGTACAACTGAGAATGTAAAGATATCCTGTTCCTAAATAGGCAGAACCAACCAATTGAAAATGGTCTCTCTCTCTCTCTCTCTCTCTCTCTCTCTCTCTCTCTCTCTCCCTCTCTCCCCTCTCTCCCCCCCACCTATCTATGGCATTCTATATAGAACTGGAGAAAACAATTCTAAAATTTGTATGAAAGCAGAAGAGACTCAGATTAGCCCTAAGAAATCCTGGATAACCAGAGAAAAGTCAGAGGCATCAGAATCCCAGACTCATTATGTTACAAAGCTATAGTGATAAAAACAGCATGGTACCAGCACATAAGGATCAATGGTACAGAAGAGAGAATGCAGAAATAATCTTAAGCATATTCAGCTCTTTGAACTGTGACAAAGTGGCCAAAAATGTACACTGCATGGAAGATAGAACCTTAAATAGAGCTGAGAAAACAGCATCCACATGCAAGAGATTGGCTCCACACCCATATTTCCCACCACATATAAGCTGATTAATGGATTAAAAAATGGATTAAAAGCTAAATGTGAATATAGAAACACTTAACCTGCTGGAGAAGTAAAATTTTTGAAGTCATAGGCACAGGCAAGGACTTTCTGAACAGAATGCTGTTGTACAGGACATTGTACTGAGAATCAACAAATGGAATCATTGAAAAGCTCCTGCACAGCAAAAGAATCAAATACAGTGAAGTGACAGCCTACAGAATGGGGAAGTTTTTCTTAGACAGAAAACTAAGAAAAAAGTGACTCCCCCCTCATGAGCAACTGACATACATACGCCCTTCACAGAAGAAGCACAGATGGCCAGTAAATGCACGAAAGCAGCCTCAGCTTCTCTGGCCATTAGGCAAATGCAAATTGAAATAACAGAGACTCTGTCTTACCCTAGAAAGAATGGCCATCATCAAGAAATCAAGTAATAACAAGTGCTGGCGAGGTAGCAGGGAAAAGGCGCCCTCTCCACTGTCGATGGGAATGGAAACTAGTACACCTTCTGGAAATCTGCATGGAGATTCCTCAAAAAACTAACACTAGAAATTTCACTCTTCACAACTGTTCCCCTTCTAGGTACCTTTCTGAAGAGTATGGATAAAGAACGTATTTGCTTACAATGGAGCACTACTCTGCCCTAAAGAAAGATAAATGAGTCATTTGTAGGAAAATGGCTATACCTTCAGTCCATAATGTTCAGTGGACTACATCATACATAGGTTAAATACCACATGGTTTCTCGTATATGAGGACCACCCCTCAAAGAGCAAAATAAGAGACAGACAGGAAGTAGGGAGATCTTTCTCGTATGGGAAGGGGTCAAGAAATGGAAGAGAAGAATGGAAATGATAGGAGGAGTTAAGGTGTGCTGCGTGCTGGTGTGCCGGCCCACACCAGGAGTGTTAATGTTACATTCTACACACATACTAACAAAGAAGAGAAAATTCCCCTTGAAAGCCTCAAGTTCCGAGCGGGGCCTACTGGGAACGAGCAGGTCTTCGGGTCGTGATGCAGAAGGGGGTGTTCACATCCCTGGCTCCTCCTTGTCTGC